ATTTTAAAAGTGATGTATAAGTGCCAGATCGAAACTGAATTGTTCCGCTGGTATGGTATTTTGGTATATGGTAAAAATTTCGCTCTTTTTTATTCAAATCGGCTCACTTTTAATATTTTTTGGCTCATAAAAAATTTATGAAGTGGCAACCGTGATTTAGATTCCCCTGGATATGTAAAAAGTTCCCTAACCATCAGGTTTTCTCCACTTGTAACCTTACCATGCTTGTTGCCCACATAGACGAACTCATAGGATATGATATAGTAGCCATAATGTGTGGATCCTGGCGCGGCCATCGCATAGCAATAGATGTCAAAGATACTCGTGGCAATGGTGAAGAGTGAGAGGAACTGAAAGGGTCGCATTTCATTATAAAAAACGATTTTCTCTATAAAGATTTCCATATCCTACAATGGCAAACAATCCGATGAGCATGGCACCCTTCTGAATGTCGATATACTGGTTGTTTTTGAGCAACGGTCGCTGGTACCAGGGAATCCTCACGGATCGCGTGGATCGGGACATCTTGGAGTGCAAATTCGTCGAGGATCTGGATAGTAAATACTTATTAGGATGTACTTATTACCAGAAAGAGTATATATTTTGACTTACCTTCCCGTGGCATGGGAATAAACCGACGGATTGGACCGATATGTAGAGGGCGTTTTCCTGCCGTAATTCATCATGAAGCCTTTTAAGTCACGTCACGTTTATAAAATAAGTGGAATCCTTTAGCGGTCCTTCAAGCAGCTACTAAAATATTTAAAATATATAACTGATATTAGGAACAATTTTTAAAATTTCGTTTATTGACCAGGGCGTGTTTGCTTAATTTGTGAGTTTTGGGTGTGTCAAGCAAGGCTTACGATTTTCGAAAACTTTAGTTGCGGTTTAATCACTTTTAAAGAGCGTTAATTGGAAATCTCTTTTTGTTGGGCTATTCCAATATCTTTAAAGTTTCCAGTTACGCATAAACTGAGGCCCATTGCATTTATTTACCTCTAAAAAAACGAAAAATTAATCCCCTCGCAACGCATCAAAAACAAAACACACGAATCAGGGCTTAGTGATTTCCAGGGCTGCACGCAGCAAGTAAATACCGATAGAGCAACAAGTGTTATCGATAGCATGCTGATGGGCAGCACTGGCCAATCAGCTGTTTATAAAGAGCGCCAAATTTAAATATTATATAGCGCAGTACTCACATCGACGAAAACCGCGAGCTAACCATATTAAATTGACATCAAAATGTTTATGTTTTCGTTTTATATGTTTTATTGGAATGTTTTTAAGTACCCAACTTGGCGCCACCTTTAAATTTGAATTCAATATATAGTTATCGATATATTCCAGGAGAGACAACCCTATAGACGACTGAGGAGCCCTGGATTTGCGCGCGTGTGTGTGTGTGTGAGCAGAGGAGGCAAAAACAGTCGACCAATGGAAAACATAAACATTTAAAATATTATTAAAATATCAGAACTAAATGACCGGCCCAACATGTCACTGCCGCGGATCACGGACTTCGAAATTCTCGAAAAACTCGGAGCGGGCAGCTATGCGACCGTCTACAAAGCGCGGCACAAAGTGGGGCACCAGTTACATACACACCATATTCACCAGAAGTGGAATTGTCTAATATTTACGTTCTATCTTTGCAGAAACAGCGCACTTATCACGCCATCAAGTACGTGGAAATGTCGACGCTGTCGCAAACCTCGCGGGAAAACCTAATCACGGAAATACGCCTCCTGCGGGAACTCAAGCACAAGTACATTGTGACCCTGCAGGATTTCTTCTGGGACGACAAGTAAAACATGCTATTTTGATATAATCAAGCGATGAATCATCCTTCTAGCAGGATATAGAATATATATATATTTCGTTTGGAGTAGAGTTGGATTACAGTCCTGATATCTCAATAGGTCGTACATAGTACTATCTCAAAATATTCATTTTTGCTCATAGATCTCATTATATTTCATGTTTTAAATCAGTTTTTAACACATATCCATTATTTTTCCCTTTAGGAGACTGAAAATATTTATTTTATTGTATATTGAAATCATTTGATTGATAAGGTTAAACCTTTATTGAAACTTAAATGAGTTTCTAAAATAATCATGTACTTTTGACTATTAAAAGTTAGTTATTTGTCATCCTATATGTTTGTCAAAGGATTTTCTGAATATATAAAAACTAAAAAAAAAATTAAAAATATTTATTTTTGATAACATTTAATCATTTGATCATGTACTTTTGACTATAGAAAGTTTGTTTTTATGTTTGTCAAAGCATTTCGTGAATATATAATAACTAAATAACAACTAAAAATATTTATTTTTTATATATTTAAATCGTTTGATTGATACGGTTAAATCTTCATTGGAATTTAAATAAATTTTTAGAATGATTATGAACTTTTGACTATTAAAACTTAGTTTTTAGTCATCCCATTTGTTTGTCAATGGACTTCCTAGAAAAATAAGGAATATCCCCTTGAAGTTTAGTATAATAATTTGAGTATCCACTTCTAATATCTACCATTCTTTTCCAGAAATATTTACATCGTGTTGGAATACTGCAATGCCGGCAATCTATCCGCTTTTATACGAACCAAGAAGGCTTTGCCGGAGAGCACCTGCCGATACTTTTTGCGCCAATTGGCGGCGGCTGTCCAGTACATGCGGGCCAACGATGTGTCCCACTTTGACCTCAAGCCACAGAACCTGCTGCTCACACGGGGAGCCAATAATGTCTCCCTGAAGGTGGCCGACTTTGGGTAGCTATTAACAAAACTCCTCAACTATATCCTGCTTATATTAACAATGTATTTTATCTCATAGGTTTGCTCAGCACCTGAAGCTGGGGGAAATCAATCAGCAGCTGAAGGGTTCGCCCCTCTACATGGCCCCCGAGATTGTGCGCAAGCATCAGTACGATGCCAAGGCGGATCTCTGGAGCATCGGGGTGATCCTGTATGAATGTCTGTTCGGCAAGGCGCCGTACAGTTCGCGTAGCATTGAGGAGCTGCTGCTGAGGATCAGGAAGGCCGAGGCCATTACACTGCCACCGAACGCTCGCATCAGCAACGAGTGCCACGATCTCCTGCGCCGCCTTTTGGCCCACGAGCCCACGGCGCGCATTTCGTTCGCGGACTTCTTCGCGCATCCCTTCCTCGATCTCAAGACCTTTCCCACGGAGCACACCCTGCAGAAGGCCATCGATCTGGTCACCCAGGCGTGCGCGTACGACGAGAAGCGCAACTACAAGGAGGCCTACTACTTGTACTGCAGTGCCCTGCAGTATTTTGTGCCCTTGATCACTGAGGAGGCGGACGCCACCAAGCGTCTGGCGCTGCGCAATCGTGCCTTGTCGTACACGAAGCGAGCCGAGGAGATCAAGAATTGCATTATCGAGGACGAGTACAGGATGTTGGCCGAACGGCAAAAGCAGGCGGCTGCATCTGCCACAGCTAATCCAACCACAGAGCCTTCTCCAGCTGTCCAGGCGCCCGATGCGCAGCCCAGCAGCTCGCGGGTTGCCGAAATGCTGGAACCAGATGCCCGCTTTAAGCAGCTATGTAAGGGATTAGAGCCCTGCATGAATGTATTCAATGAATTATTCTGAATTTTTTGTTTTATATGAATGAATTAATTAGAATTTTGAGTTTAATAGAATTGAATGAATGAATGGCATGAATTTCAAAATAATTCAAACGACAATTTTTTTTTAAGAAAAAAGCGCCATAATTTTGTGATTAAATCTGCATGAATTTAATTTTTTATGCAGTTAACATTGATTTGTTAAAAATTGTCCACTTTTTGTTCTCAAAAGAAAGTCCAAAAAAATCTGGCAGATTTAAAAAATTATAAAAATTATTCATTCATTCATTCAATTCGAAATGAATTAGAAAAACATTCAATTTATACTATGATAAACCAAAAATTGAATGATTCACGCAGGGCTCTATACGGGATCAGTCGGCTTTTGACTCCGAACTCCAAACATAACATAATTCCCCCATTTCAGTTGCCCTTTCGAACTCGAGTCCGTCCTTGAAGACTGGCCTGGAAATCGGACGGAAAGGCGAGCTATATCTATACGAGCGCAAGCTGGACGCGGCATTGGAGTCGTATACCTCAGCGCTGGGCATTCTGGTGCCGTTTGTGAATAATGAACCAAAGGGCGAGCGCCGCAATCTGTTGCTGCAACAGGTAAGCTTAAGAATAACTTCATAATCACTTCAAAAATCGTATTAAAACATCTACTTTTTAGCTGGAATTCTGGATGAAGGAGGCGGAGAGCATCAAGAGCATTTTGAGCGCCAAGCACATGGACGAGGAGGAGCAGAAGCTGTCCACGGTACGCAGCTGCAGCATACAGTAGTCAATAAATCGTAGATTTGAATTTGATGAGCAATTTTCCAGCGCCTGGTGCGCATTTGTTAGAGTATTTTTGTAGGCCGATGTCCAAGGAGCATCGCTTTAGTCACGTAGCCTTCTATGATCTTATATACATACAATATACAGATATACAAATGTCTATACTAGATTCGCTTTCTATGTACAGCAGAACCATGAACGCTATTTGTACCGCTCTCCACTAAAAACTTATTCGTATTTGTTATGTAAGACCTGACACCGATGGCCTTCCTAATTGTTAACTAACCCACTTTGTTGCGGCTGTAAACCGTTGTTAAGTTTTAAACCCTTTCATTTTCTACTTTAAGCGCACTTCAATGAGAACCATAACATTCCTGGGCTGGTCAAGACCGCCACTTTTGTATTTCATTCTGTTCATTGTGCTTAATTTGATTAAAATTGTTTAAAGATAACCGAACCACTGCCGTTTGATATTGGCGGAGATAAGGCGATAGTGGCGCTCTCTTCTAATCTAGCTAGTTTAATCTCGTCCTATCAATTGCCGTAAATTATCGTAATCATAATCAGTAATCGGCAATGTCAGCCAACTTATAAAAGCGGCCGTTGGACAATGAGCGCGCATGTTTAGCCGAAAATGTCGCCGAATCGAGATCTTTGCCTGGCGGTGATCGCCGTCCTGGCATTCGTGGGTGCTTCCCAGGCGGCTCCTCCACTGGGACGTGTGGTGAATGGCACGGATTCCAGTGTGCAGAAGTATCCGTTTGTGGTAAGTGTACATTATCGTAGGTTTAAAATATTTTCGAAAATTAAAAATAAACTGATAAAAAATATTTTAAATGGAAATTCATATTCTTGGCTTATAATCTCCTAATCTATTCTTCATTATCTTTCAGATTTCCATGCGTGGTTCTTCAGGATCGCACTCCTGCGGTGGCTCCATTATTTCCAAGCAGTTTGTGATGACCGCTGCCCATTGTACAGCTGGACGCAAGGCTTCCGACCTGTCCGTTCAGTATGGAGTGACCACGATTAGTGCCAGCGGACCCAATGTAGTGGGCGTCAAGAAGATCATCCAGCACGAGGACTACAATCCCTACAACAACTATGCCAACGATATCTCTTTGCTGATGGTCGAGGAGCCTTTCGAGTTCGATGGCGTTAATGTTGCCCCCGTTCAGTTGCCAGAACTTGCCTATGCCACACCGCAAACGGATGACGGTGGCGAGGGAGTGCTCATCGGCTGGGGTCTCAATGCGGTGGGTTTTTTGGATTATATATTTTCAGAAAGATTTTATATTAACTTGAAATCTCTTCAGACTGGCGGCTATATACAAAACACCCTGCAAGAAGTGGGCTTGAAGATCTACTCCGATGAGGAGTGCACTCTGCGTCATGAGGGTCGCACGGATGGCAGATACCACATCTGTGGGGGCGTGGACGAGGGCGGCAAGGGTCAGTGCAGCGGCGACTCGGGTGGTCCTCTCATCTACAACGGCCAGCAGGTGGGCATCGTGTCCTGGAGCATCAAGCCCTGCACCGTGGCTCCCTATCCGGGTGTCTACTGCAAGGTTAGCCACTATGCCGACTGGATCAAGAAGAGCCAAATCATATTGGCCTAGTCATCCCATTATCTTTGACAATATTGAAAGGCGTATGCCTGCAATAAATAAAGCTGATATATATTGATTAAAGTGGCGATTTTTCTTAATCATAAATCAGTGTCGGTGAAGGCAAACCGGCAAATCCCAGGTTTTTTTTATCAATATTTGTTAGTTTCTTCCAGGGACCGTAAATAAGAGTTATTTGAGACTTTTATTTAAAAAAAGACTACTGAGATTTTAAGTTTTAAACGTCAAAAATATCACTTATTTTACAGTTGTCCACAGAGTAAATAGATGTCAACGAATTTTGAAAACAAATAAACAGTTATATGTCCTTGTCTATAAAGCGAATAAAAAATAAAAGTCTCAAATAACCCTTATTTAGGGTCCCTGGTTTTTACCGTTTGAAATTACAATTAATTGTTTATTTAATTCTTTCCCCAGTGACGATTCACAAAATGTTACCCATTTTAATGAAGGAACAAAAACAATTAAAATTTTTTTAAACAAAAAAATCAGCGACAAGGAAGTCTTCTAGAAATAAAATGGTGTCAGGGCCTGGACAACCAAAAAAACAAAATTCTGTTAGCCTGTGTTATGATTTTTTTTTGGTTCTGAAGTTTTGCAAGCCATTTTAACATTTCAATCGACCTTGACCTAATTATTCGTTTATTATAGTTAATGATGATCGTTCATTAAATTGTATTTCAAATACCTATTTTATTAAATTCCTCAACAGAGAATTGGTTAAAGCTTATAAAATAATTGTTATGTCCGATAGCTTCTTAAAGTATTTTTAGACAGCTCGTTTCCCTAATCGTTGGGAAAAGCATATACTTTTGCGCTTGGTGCCTTTCTTTTTTAAATAATTTAATGATACCCAGACGAGTGCCACTTTATATCAATGACGACAGATTTAATGAACTCTTATCTGGCATCGTAAATAATAATAATCGCACTGGTTCTGCAAAGTCAACCAGCTTATAAAAGCGGTAGCCCACCCAGGGGGAGCATTTTTAACCAAAATATGTTGTCGATTGAAGATCTCAGTCTAGCTGTAATCGCTGTCTTGACCATTACTACGGTTGGTCAGGCCGCGCCCCCAATATGGAGGGTTGTCAATGGTACGGATTCTAGTGTGTTGAAATATCCCTTTATGGTGAGTATAAAATAAAAGGGACTTTTGTGAATTTCTGTGGTTATAAAGTGCATGCAAATTTTTAAAAAGAGAGTAATAATATTTAATTAAACAAACCTAATTTTTTTTAAAACAAAATTCAAATTGGTTTGGTACAATTGTGTTTTGAATAAATCATTTATTTTTAATAAATAAAAAAAAATCCTTGGTATATTACTTATAAAAGTGTTTTTTCCTTTACCAAATCTTAGGTATATAAATGCATTCAAATTTAAAAAAAGAGTGTAATAATATTATTATTCCGAACCTAATTTATCAAAAAGAAAATGAATTGGGTTGTAAATTAATAATTGACGATTCTTTGTTAGAATTGTGTTTTAAATAAATCATTTATGGTTAATAAATAAATCAAAATCCTAGGAATATTACTTTAAAAAGTTGTATATCCTTGACCAAATACTAGGTATCTCTACGCAGCTACGATGGCTCTCATAGCTGTGGAGGAACTATTGTTTCGCCGAAATTTGTGATGACTGCAGCCCATTGCACCAATGGACGCGCGGCAGAGTCGCTATCGATTCAGTTTGGAGTGACCAATATCAATGCCAACGGACCGAATGTGGTGGGCATATGGAGAATTATCCAGCACGAGGACTTTGATCCTAATCGTCAAAATGCCAACGATATTTCGCTGGTGATGGTGAAGGATCCCTTTGTTTTTGATGGCATTTCGGTGGCTCCCGTGGAATTGCCAGTTCACGGCTTTGCTGTACCCCAATCAGATGCTGGAGTGGAGGGTGTGCTCGTCGGATGGGGCCTGAATGAGGTGGGTTTTAATGGGATTAATATTATTAAAGGTATGTTATTTAAAATATCCTTTCTTCAGACCTATGGAAGTGTCCAGAACACCCTGCAGGAGGCCTCCCTGAAGATCTACTCCGATGAGGAGTGCACCACACGACATGGAGGCCGTACCGATCCCAGATATCACATCTGTGGGGGCGTGGACGAGGGCGGCAAGGGACAGTGCAGCGGCGACTCGGGTGGTCCGCTCATCTACAATGGCCGGCAAGTGGGAATCGTCTCGTGGAGTGTTAAGCCCTGTACCGTGGCTCCCTATCCGGGGGTTTACTGTAAGGTTAGCGAGTACATTGACTGGATCAAATGCAATATAATTATATTGCCTGAGTCACCGAGTACCATTGTTCCATAAATTCAAAATAAAACCGTTTAATAAATAATGAGATTGCTAGCCTTTATTCGGTTCGATGGGGGGGGCGATAAGCTAATTATCGGCGTCATTATTATAAAGGCCTTAAGGTGCTATAAATCGTGTCAATTATATTCCGAGTTATAAATTTACCATATTGCTTCTGTTCAAATATAAAGTTGATTTTGCGCCGCTAAATTGGGAGTATTCATCAAACTGTAGTACAAGCATGCGTTTCGGGTATTAATCAAACTGTAAATTAAAAAAAAAATGTAAACTAATATTTAACTTGCTTGCAAGGGACTAATTATAATGAATTGAATCTATATATTTATTTTATATACATTTATTTCCCTAAAATTTTGTCAAATTAAAAATTATAACAATTATTGATTTCTTATTTTGATTTTGTAATTGTTCAACTCAGTTTACAATTTGTAGGCTGTTGAATATTAAACATGGAATAAAACAGCTCAAAACTGTTGCTTAAATTTAATAAAAATGGTACCAAACATCAAATTTTTTTAAAAGTAGTTCCTAATTTATTTCATTTTAGTTCGAATGCCTAAAAAATCAGCATAATTATGGTTCTTAAAAGTCTGGTAATACCTGCAACTCCCTCGACTTTAAATATTTGTGCTGCAGACCTTCATTAGCACCGAAATGAAGAAGTGAACAGTTTGAGCAGCACTGGCCCACTGGACCAATACGAAGGCACCCGACCCGACCCGAATCGAATCGCTCATCCGCCCCGTCGGCTGCTGCTGCTGCCGTGCTTCTTCTTGCTCATGGTTCTACGGCCGCGGCATCAACTTCTGGCACTGCAGTCAACATTTTCAACTCAGACGGAACGCACGGTTGGGCGGACTCAGATTGAAATAATTCAAAAGTTAGTGTCCGTTGGTTTTTGTGTGTTTGAATTCAGAGTGTGAACAGAAAGAAAACTAACTGAAAAAAATATAAAACAAGATTAAAACTTTTCATAACCGAATTAAAGAATCATATTTTTTTGATATCCTAAGCCAAAGATCAGTTCGACTGTTTTTTGTGTTATTACGCTTGCCATTGAAGCGACCAAAAAAATGTGGAAAAAATATTGCATTTGCCATAGCACAGAATGCGGAAGGTCGCCCATTATGATGGACCAAAACTCGTTGCATTCATTCGTTTAATTAAAAAAACAGAAGCACATAAAAAAGGAAGAGCCGAAATGACTTGTTAATTGGCTGGTGCTTTTGCTGCTGCTCTGCGAGGGCCACATGGCGAATGCGTGATACTAGGGCCTGCTTATATTCGAGTCGAATATAAAAACTACAAGCCTCAAATTGATCCAGCCCCGACTTTCGCCCCATTTTTCCTCCGTGCCCTCGTATATATTTCAGCAAATTAAATCAAAGCCAAAAGTAGGCAACAAAAGTACACAATGAGCGTACGTAATACGTTTTTGGCTAGCCTCTAACTCCTGCCGTTCCTCAAAGTATTTTTCGAAAAATTCGTGGAAACACTCAGCGCTGAACGCATAGAAAAGTACTTTCAAAAACACCCCTTTCACCTTCTGCCCTTCGCCCAATATCCACCCACCGCCGCCCACAAACACACTCGCATTCGCGCATTTAACTAACAACAAAAGCAATTTAAAAACAATTTTTCGAGTTTCGAGAAAAACGTGTGCCCCTGTGCGGTCGTGGCCTACATACTTATAGCCCCAAAAAAAATCATATTGGGCGTGGCAGCTGCTGGCAATTTGTAACATTCCAAACAAAAGGTGCATGCAGCAAAAGTTCCCAAAGCATTGAAGGTTTTTGTGATTTACTCAGCATCGCGAACTGCAAATAGATAGAGTTACATTGGGGAAAAGTGTGAAATTTACCACGGTTTTATTAGAATTTTGAGGAACTAAAAATAAAATGGGTGTGTTTTTTATTTCGACAAAACCCTTAATCAAAAACTTGAGTATTACAAAGTTTCTGGAAGTATTTGTTAGAAAAGTTTTCTATTACAAAGTAATTATCTATATTTTATTTATTTAGTAAATAATATTTACAATAGCAGTATTCAGAACATATCATTTCGAGCTGATATATTTCTTATCAATCAAATATTCATGTTTAAATTAAAATATTTTGGTAAATGTAAATATTTTTAAAATAACAAAGTAAAGGAAGTTTGTTTAAACTAAACTTTGAAAATAATAAAATAATTGTATGCATAAACATTTAAGCGCAATCATCGTCGTAGATCTTTGGCATAGGTTTCAAGGAAATATAAAGAACCATAAAAATAATACTAAGGAAATTAATTATTATTAATTAAAAACCCGCAGCGTATAAATAGGCTTCCCAAAAACCGAAACGATTCCACTCAAAAGGAACAAAGCGAAATTTGCAATTTAAGTGAGTGAACGCGTCTTGCCTGTCATTGCGTCAGTTTTCCAGTTTGTCAGTCTGTCCATTTATCAGATCGTCAGTGTGAACAGTGAGTGTGTGTCAGTGAGTGTGTGAACTCTGTGGTAAAGGTCAGAACTCAAATGAAAATGTCGAGCGGCAACCAAGAAGCAATGTCAACAAAAGCACCTGTCACCGCCGTGGACGAGGACAATTCCTCGTCAATGCATCCAGCAACCCCATTCCCTTGCTCAGCCTCATCGGCATCGGGACTGCGACTGGGATCGATTTCGGCTAGCAGCTACCATGTGAAAGCCCTGGCCATCCTGGTGGCCATCGTCTTGTGCAGCGGCAGCCTGGGATTCGCCGACGGGCTCAAGTGCCACATGTGCGGACAGTACAACGAGGGCGTGGGCTCCATTACGCCCTGCACCAACTACACCAAGGACATTGCCCATCTCTACCTGAAGGAGTGCACCAAAAAGAGCGAGAAGTTTTGCGTGGTGAGTCTGATTTCCTTATAACACGATCCTAGAATAACAACTGGTCCAACTGAATATATGTACATTCGCATCGGTTATTCTTTTAAAGTATCAACCCCTCTATAAGGTACTCGGTATTCCAGAAATTCCTGGAATTTTTAAAGAAAATCTCATATCTTAGGTTAAATTTTAAAAAAATCTCTAGAAAAAAAGTAATTTCATTTTTTCCAAATTGTCTAAAATTGTTTTTAAATAAATATAAGAAAAAAGGATTAAAATTGTAACCACCAAACTTGAAAGTGTTTTTAATAGTCATTCAAACTTTTCATAATATTTACAACTTTCTGTAATTTAAGCTATTTTTTTCAAATGTTGGTTGACATTAAACTTAAAATAATAATATTTAAAATTATGAAGTATAAAAACTCGTGTAAGATGATTTTAGGTCGCTGCAATAAATAATAGAAACCCAGATACCCAAAAAATCACATAAATAATGGTGAAACCTTATATTTACAACTTTCAAAGATTTAAGCAATTTTAGAAAAAGTTTTAAAGACAGTTACCTAATAATTAAGAGTTAGCTATTAAATTGTTCATAATAAAAGGGCTTCAAAATTATTTAAAAACTTTTTAGATGATTTCAAGTCCCTGGAATATATAATAGCAACCCAAGGTTTTCTAAAAATCATCTTAATAATGGCGAAAATAAATTTGGCTAAGGTTTATTATTTCGCTAATGCGAACTTATTGGTCAGCATCAGACCAATATCGCTAGTATTTGTCCTCTGTATTTATTTTTGTCTTTACCCGAACCAATTGAACCGAAATTGAAACGTTGCATTCATTTATTTATAGACTCATTCATTTTGGTTCATTGCTACTCATTGTTGTCATTGTCCGGGGAAGCAAAAAGGCAAACCAAGAGGCAAACAGCGATAGTCCCTCCTTCTCCTTCCGTTTCCTTCCTCCATTGATGACTTCTCGAGTTGATGTTTCCATTTTATTGTTTTTCGCCCGTACTCACATTGATTGTGTGTCTCTGTGCTGTTGTCTTATCTCCGCACTGGCCATATATATATTCCTTGCGAAGTAAAATCCGTTGGCAGTTCTGCCGCTGTCACATTTTTGTTTTCAGTGCTCGTCAAAAAAAATAGATAAATTGCTTATAAAAACGAAGTGAATCATTTGCTTTACCATAGAACGGTCGTAGGGAGATTGAGTTTTGTGAGCAAATCGATTGCTTTTATCGCCCAGAACCTTGATTACAAAATTTAAATAAATTCAATCTTTATGGCAGAAAATCAAATGGGATTTTTAATCCCAAAACAATATTGACGTTAAGTAATTGCTTGAATTCGTTTTCAATTGGTTTATTGAAAGATACAACTTTAGTTCAATAACTGCTTAACTTCTGGGTCTCTAGATTTTCAATTTTTCGAGCTTAATAAATAAAGTGGCTATTAAAATAAAAATGTATGTAAAATTCAGATTTGATTTGTCACATTTTGTCTCATTTGTTAAATTAATTAAACAAATGGCTAATTTTTAAATTTATCAAATACACTTAATATAATATTTTAAAAAATTATCCAGTTTTATTTTCAAGGATTTTCAGATTTCATTTGTAATATTGTGTCTGTTTCAAGTTGAAAATTTGTTAAATACGCACGGTGGTTTAATTGCAAAAATAGTTATTATAGGTTTAAGTTCTTTATAATTACTTCGTTTTATTCAATTAAAGAGAATATCTAGCTTTGAACCTTAAGATTTTGGAAAACGGCTAATGTAAACGCGTTACGTATACGCCGTGTATCAATTTGCATGAAACAAGATGCGAGCTTTGTTTTTTGAGTGAAAACCCTGCTCATCAGCCATCCAACCCACATCCACATCTATATCCATCCGGGGGAACAAGGTAAACTAATGCCATCTGACTGCTGAGGCAATTTCAATTAGTTTTGCGGCCGTCGAGCGGTTTGCTCAACGCTGACGATCTAGGAGGGCGGCACGTGTGCCGTTACCTGGCGCCCTGATTATAGGGGCGTGGCAGCCCAATTGTGCGCATAAATTGCGGCATATTGTATGCACTCGATGTGCCTGTGTGCGGAGCACTTAACGAATTGCATCGGCGACGGAGGAGGAGGCGGTGAGAAACAGGACCCCGAATCCAGCGAATCCTGCTTGTTTGCGCTTTGGCAATCATTAAATATTTAACACCTACTTGCCATGCAAAGATGCCAACTGGCTGCCGATTGCAGCCGCATCTTTGCCATGATTCACCCGGTTTTCCTAGAGGAAAAGGATGGAAAGAAGGGGGAGGATGGTCCATAAATTGTTATTTTCTGCGGCGCTCGATGGTTAACACGTCCCACGCATTTCATCGGGTCACGCCTCTTCTTTCCGCCCCTCTCCTCTTGGGAATAATTTAGTTTGCAAGCTCTCTTGTTTTTTTGTCGTACTTTGTTTGAACTCAACATTCCATGTGGTTTGGAATTTAAGGAAATCACAAAAAAAATGGAGAACGCCCACTATTTTTCACACACATTTTGCAACTTTTATAATCGACGGGGTGGCGGCAAAAAGTTGAATATAATTTGAGCTTTTTTCCATGGCGTTTTCCCTGTTGCCGTGCCATTAAATTTGATTTCCTCTGGCTTTTTTCACACTCGTCCTTGTCGAGCAAAAAAAGTGTCTTTTTTTTAACGCTCTGGACAAATTGCGTTTAATTGCAATTGGCAGCTTGGCGCAACAGCAAATGATATCAAATTTATAGCAACAGTGCGGTTTGTTCATTATCCCCAAAAAGTGACTCTTTGTTGCACATTTTAATTTTCATTTTTTATAATGTGACATTATTTATGCATATAAATGCATAATGTTTCCTGATTAACAATTATTGAGTTATGCAATAGACGTGCCAATTTATTTATTGGTTTTAACATAAATATTAAACAGTTTAGAGGCCTTCTATTTCTGCATCAAATACAAATAACGAGATAATGAATATTTAAAATCGTTCAACACAATGTTTTTTCAGGCATTTCCCAATTGAGGTTTTTACTTCAGTTTACCTTCGTGTCCGGCTTTGAATAAAAATGGAAGAGCTGCAAAAATGTTTTTAAATTGAAAACCATGTGGGTTTTTTTTTTGTATTTTATTTTGTAGGTTTATTTTAAATATTTTATTACTTGACCATATTTTTTTTCCATTTTAGTCTGTAAAGAAAAGACAGAAGTAAAGGTAAAGGAGTGTTTAATAATCCCCAAAGGCCACCAATAAATTGGCAGAGATAAACCGCTAAACACAAAAGCCAACACAATACTTGGCAGTAAGTCTCAAGTATTTCTGCCTGGCTTTCATCTTTCTTTTTTGCCGCCTTCCTGATAATTGCCCTTCATTTTGTTATTAACAGCTTCACAGACACTTAATTAGCTGGATAATTTATGCCAAGTAAGGACCCCCCGAATGCCAAGATGGTGATGCTGATGGCGATGATGATGATACCCTCCCCGAAAAGTGGCAAAGAAAAGGAAAAACATGTTGCAACACGAAAAGCGGGCAAAAAACTTTTGTTTAAATATTAACCAACGGCATAAGGCTCCGTCTCCCTTTTTGGCCATAAAAGTTGAAGTGTTTTTGCGGTTGCTGTCTTGACTGCTTGACCTGATGTCGTCGTGTTCGCCTAAGTAGTTGGCTTCCTTGTTGATTATTTGTTTTATGCTAGTTGCTTAGGGCACCGCACCCCTCCAAAAAAAGAAAGTTACTTACCCTGGCGCCGTCTGTTCGGAACTGTCTTATATATATTTATGAGTTAAATTTATATTCAAATTAGCTGGGGCCGAAAGGGCAACGCTGAATGCATAATTCATAATTTCGATAATGAGTTCCAGGGTAGCATAAATATAAATCCCCCCATTTCGCACACATATAATCTACATCTTGTGTTGACCCCCCGCGGGCAAAGGGGGCTAAAAACAATGGCAGTCCATTGTTTTTTTAAGGGGTTGGCCCCGGCACGTAAACAAATACGGCCTGCATGTATGCATGAGTGTATTCATTTAACCCTTGACCTCATGCTAAACAAAAGGAAGTGAGTACGGTTGGAATGCGAGAGATAGAGGCCACGCCTAGGCGCCTAATTAATATTTACCCGCCTCTCTTTTTCAATTATTTTTGTGCAAATCGAAAAGAGGTCGAATACAAAAATCACGGAATGAATAAATTCCATACAGCATAGTTCCATTAATTAAAAAAAGGTTATTATTAAAAAATTATATATATTTTATTTTAATAATATAAAAAACGAAATATGTATATTAATGACAATAAAGACCACAAATTAGGCACCTTTTTAAATTAAAGCTTCAAAATGATCGATATTTTTAATATTTGCTTAAAATCGATGTTTTGTAGGGAAAATACATAATAAATATTGAGAAATAGCTGTCGATATTTTTTCAAACCATATTCTAAAACAAAGAATATTTTCATTAATTTCACTACAATAAAGTTCCCAAAGCCTAAATTAATTTTAATTGATTTTTTTCTCATAGTTCCGGCATAAATATTCTAAAATCAAATTGCAAAAAGCAAGGCTTTATTGATTGAAGCTAAACTTCTGCTACCGGACATTGCAGTATCAATTCTCGGCAAATGTGTGGAAAAGGTAAAAGGAAAACCTTCTTGCTGCTATTGTGGCTACGTGCCTACTGGACGTAACCCAAAAACCAGAAACCAAGTGCCGAAAACAAACACGAATACTTATATATAGGGCAAAGTCCGACCGGCCACGCCCCCTTCAAGTGAGACTGAGAGGCTGAGACAAGGGAATGGCCGCAAAAACGGAATGCAAATATTTTCGCTTCATTTTGGCTGTCGTACATTCCTGGCCGTTGCTTGTTTGCTGGCACTGTTGTTGCAATTAGGAGTGTTTACACTGCCTTCCGGGCAAACACGCCCCAAAATCACTTAAAAGTTGGCATTTTGCCTTCATTATTGTTTGTAATGCTGTGCAAAGCGGCACATATTTTTCAACAAATGTCGCGGAAACTTTTGCTTTTTTTTTGTCACCAAATCAGACAGTCGTTTTTACCATTTATATTATAATTTTTTAAATATTAAATATACATTTATCATAATTCTAGTAAACAAAAACTATTTCTGGAGAATTGTGTTTATTGGCCGACAAAAAGGCTTTTGTCATTTTGCCTTGAATAAGGTTTACTTATTATAAGTTTACTTTACCAAAAAGGTACAGCTTTTGGCACCATTTCAACTTTAGCCCATATTAAGATTTATTCACTTAAAATCATGATATATAATTATTTAAATAATCTTGAAAGTTGCATTGCTTTTCATAAAATTTTAGAACCATTTGCGGTATTTCCTCATATGCAATTCCACTTAACACCATTTGCGGTTGGTCGAGATCCAAAAACTTAATCAAAAACGATACTTCACCATTTTTTTTGAAGCCCTTCAGAACTTCTTGAGCTGTAAAACCGTGATTAAAGGGATTATCCATAACGAGGCATGGATCAATTTTCATCCGCTTCGCCTTCTTTTCATATAAATTATTTAGATTCAGCGCCCTTTTCAGACTAAATTTCGATTCAAAAGAATTTACTAGAGTAGGACAGTCCAGATCTGAGGCCAATTCCCAGGTATTATCTTCATCGGAATAATTCAGCCATTTAACTAAGTATTGAACTTCACCCCTGTGATGCCTTCGATCCAATATCTTCTCAACAATATATTCTTCGCCTTCATCGGAGTCGTCAGTAAGTTCGGAGGAAACCGAAGAGACTTCATCACTATTGATATTTATATTCATTAGTATATTTATTCTTTTCTCTGACCTTTTTTAAAAAAGTTTTATTTTTATCTGTTAATTTTTGACAGAAATGTCACAGCATCAAAATGTTCTCTCCACTTTTTATCGTTAGTTGCTAACTTATTTCTTCAAGTTTTGTTTTCACTGCTTGTCCACTTTAATATCGAGGCTGTTCTCTTGCCAGAAGATTAACATAAAAATATGATAACAGAATTCCATTGAATTCATTTAATATCTTGAAGGAGAAAAAGTTAAGAAGTTGTCTTATTTCTAATGCCCACAGCTTAGGCAAACGGTATTAATAAAGCCCAATTCAATATAAGAAAGTGAATAAAATTGTTTGCCCGGAAATCTATTAGAGATCCCTGGATGCTGGGTAAGTCCTTTCGAAACAACAATAACAACAACGGTGAGTCGCACGGAGGAAAAACTGCGGAAAAATATCGTAAAAAATTATGCGTAAAGTTGGCGAAAAGTTTGAAATACTCGTACAACAAACTTTGTTGAGGCTGGTTGTCTCGGGTATCACGATGTTTAATGAACAAAATCTTGTTTTTTAAAGAAGAACTTTTTGGGTAGCGGAAATTGTTGATGGATCACTTGACAATCGCTGGGTGAATATATTGGTATATGTTTAATATAATATTTAATCTAATTTAGATTTCAACCGATTATCACTTTGGGTATACAAAACATCCCTGTCTTTTGATTATATTCTCAGCTAATGTAATACATTATTTTTTTCATGAAGCATGAAAGCTTGCTTTCGGAAAACATAAGTTTATGACTTTCGTCCAAGACAGATTTCCTTTTTATTGCTTTATTTTTTCGGTGGAAGGCGCCACGTACCTGGTGTTAAATCGGCAAAGTTTTATTGGCCGAAATTAAAAGCTCGATTATGCGTGTTGACGTGGGCCAGATTTGTTGGATTGATCCAAACGCTTGGTGGGAAGGGGAATATTAGAGGCCTGGATTTACATGCGAATGCGGCAATCAAACTGTGCAGTGCGGGCTACGTGGACGGAATAAATCAGGCGACTTACAAAAGGAGGATGGAGTTGCGAAATGTGAAAATACATAATAAAATGTGAAGATTCCAGTGGAAAAAAATCAGGAGGAGCTGGGTCAAGAAGAACTGAGGCCATAAATGGGGGCTGTCAATTTCCGTGCGGCGAGTTGTGAAATCAGCGTCAAATCGGAAGGCAGGAAGTGGAGAGGTGGAAGTGACTGCCTATGCCATCATTTCCGGCAGCCATTGATTGCAGAGGAGGGGGCTAAAAGCCAGTTGTGCCTGGGTAAATTCAATGTAATTGATAAGCGACTCTGCCGGCAGATAGGCGGCAATGAGCGGAGTGTCCTGGGCCGAAGGATCCACCTACTCTATAAGGCCCAAAGACTTTGAGCAAACATACTGCTACACTCACACACACACACACTCTCGCAAAAGACACTCAATTAAGAAAACAATGGCGGCTCGGTTTGTGCGGCAATTGAGTTTTTCCTTTTGCCATCTGCCTCAGCTTTGGCCCCCTTTGTTTTGCTTTCGGCTTTTCCTCTTACCCTTTCTCCTTGCCTCTTTCTCGGGGCCACTAAGACGCTTAGTCTTGCCACAAGCCGGTTTTCGTATTTGACTAGTCCTGCGATATCTTTGCCTTTTAGCCAACTCTTGGTTTTTGGCCCACACTCAGACTCCTTTTATTCCTATCGCACGCTCATTAGCCGTTGTCTTCCAGCCAATTTTACTGTCACTTTTTGCCTCCAGTGTTGTCAGTAGTTCCTTTGTTCGCCATCTCCGCTTGACTTAACTCACTTTCGGGCTAATTTCCACTCTTATTTGATCATCATTATAATTATTGTGTGTTTGTTTTTGACAGTATTACGGTCATAATGGAAGGAAAGTTGGCGCGCAAGGCAAATTCGCAATGAATTTTGATGATGTTTCTCAAAATCGAGGGGTGTTTTTGTAGACTCACCAAATTTTCTATAAATTATATTGTTTTCTACGGTCGTAAAGTTGTAGAAATTCTTTAAATAAATAACAAAGCTATTGCTTACTTCTACAAATCTTTGTATTTATTATAAACTGGCTATTTAAAATCCCAAACAATAAACTGTAGTGTACTTAGAAAAGAATAACCAAAGAAATACCTAAAAGCTTTTTTCTCTTAGTTGAATTTATGGCAAGTAATCCACACTTTTTTAATTAAAATGATATAAATAAGTTTTGATTTTTGTTTTTGCCATCTCTCACTCAGATTGTCCCAATTAAAGTGTTAAGTATTTAAGGTCTTTCCCCAACTGACTTCCATTAACACAGAATCTCACACATGCTGCACAGAAAGTTTCTCAACACCAGGAACAATAATTCATTTATTTCAGCCACACCAATTGTGCATACATACATACGTATATATATTTTTTGGCATTCCCAGTTGGTCTGGCAAAACTATCTCTCGTTCTTCGCATTCAGTTTTCAAGGCATTGTAAGCGATTTAAAATCCAGTGGCACACAAAAATATGGCAACTGGCAGCTGGCACATGGGAGCGCTGGGGCCAAAAGTTGTTTCGCATATAAATGATTTTGATAACGCGCCCTGACATTTTGTGACTTCATTATTCTAAAATTCAAATTATTCCCGACGAACAATGGGATTCTGGAAATACAAACAGAAAAACACCGAAAGTGGGTCAGACTGTGGCTGACAATAAGTTTTATTAGCTCTCCAGACGACTGAAAAAACAGGAGTCCCTGTGTATGATTCGTATTTCGATGTACTGCCGTGTTACGCATACGCCACGTATGCAAATCTGAAAATATTCCACTATCTCGCCGGCTCTTTTTTGGCCTGTCAAATAAAGAATGTTGTGCCACTGACTGACTGACTGCTGCTGCTGTTGATAAAGGTTTTCTTCGACTTTCTGGATGCTACAGGCCCAAAGACTGGATTAAGTAATGCGCCTGGCTCACGTCAAAGGCACTCTCCCAGTTGAGTTCATCGTGCAGGGCCCGGCATAATTTATGACTCGAAATTTATATCATTTCTTTTGAGACAGACAATTGCCAAGACACTAATAAAATTTATTTCTTGCTTATAACTTATGAAGGGCAATATGGCGCGAAAACTTAATGAAAAATGGTTGCTCAGCAGTGCGACTGAAACGTGTTTCGGTGCTCCTTGACCCCCTCTCCCTGGAAACCCCCTTTTTCCTTTGGCCAAGCAGCTGTGACCAACTAATAACCCGGGGGCGTGGCCAAACGTGCTGGAAAAAAACTTTTTACATAATTTTTCTCCACTCATTTCTGTTTTTTCGTGTGTCTGTGTGTGTCACAAAACAGCCACTGAAATTTTTATATGCCTGATGCTCAGCTTACGGACCAAAGCCAAAGCGGAAATCCTTAGTTTCCTTATGACAACGACATCCTCTGGCTCACAAACCAAAAAAGAAGAAGAAAGAAAAAAATGACTGCGCGCATAAAAAGCCAAAAACAGAGTAAAAGTTTCGCCAGCGGAAAATTTTTTATTAGATTGCGTTGCAGTCACTTAAAGCTTGGGATCGCAGTCGCGTCTCAACTTGCCGTTGGCAAATTGCCGGCTTCCGTCGGGAGCGTTTCCACTTTTGGCCGGAAACGATGGCATATTGGCCGTCGATATCAGGCGCTTGGGATATTAATTGACAGGGATCTCTTTGGTTGTCCGACTGCATTTCACTGGGTCCCTGCGAAAACAGCCATTTATATTAATCAACTGAAAAGTCAGATTGAAAATTTTTAACACCATCAATCAACTTGCGGCGACTGCAAGGCAAAAATTGCCAACTTTTTGGCAAAACTAAACAATCAACGAATACAGTGATGCTTCATCTTTCCTTTGGGGAGGCGAAATCAAAATATTTGCCAAACTCAGTTTTCGGCAAAGTTATCAATAAACACACAACATCAACTGAAAACAACCATAAATAAAAGTGTGGGGAAATGGATCTCGGCAAGGTGAAATGGGTAATACTCTCTCTGAAAGTATTAAAGTTGTAAACTAATCAACGATAACTATTAATCATTCTGAGCAAAATCTTTAAATATATTTAAAAAAATTAAAAAGAGAATAAATAACACTATGCAGCATCAAAAATTAACCTCGATGAATGCTATATTTTTAGATTCGTTACGAATTCCCAAGTTAAACTGCGTTTTCCAAAGAGTTCCCCGACGCAAGGATTCTTAGCAAAAGGACCTCAAAGTTCGAAAAATGCTGAAATTGACCAACTTTGCGGAGCTCTCAGAGGCAAATGGATGCATGGCTTGGTTCGAAGTTAAAGTTTTTTAAAAGATACACCCTTTATCTTTCAAACCCCATACATAAAATAATTTTAGGATTTTTTTAAGGCAGAAATAAATTCCAAAAAACATAGTCAAAAAACTAAAAACCATACAGCTGCGGTCAAAATAGTAGCAGTGTTGCCGCCTTGTGTTTTTAAAAGTTTGATGTTGTAATTTTTTCTTATCCAATTAGTCTAATAGTAAAATTATAATCAATACAATATTACCAGGAAAAGATCAATTACAACAACAAACTTTTAAATACACAGGGCGGCAACACTACTACCATTTTGACCGCTGCTGTATACTTTTATGTTTTTTGACTATGTTTTCTAGAATTTGTTTCTGCCTTAAAAAAAATCTTAAAAATTTTTTAAGTATTGGGTTTAAAAGATAAAGGGTGTATCTTTTAAAAAACTTTAACATCGAATCAAACCATGCATCCATTTGCCTCTGAGAGCTCCGCAAAGTTGGCCAATTTCAGCATTTTTCGAACTTTGAGGTCCTTTTGCTGAGAATCCTTGCGTCGGGGAACTTTTTTGAAAACGCAGTTTAACTTGGGAGTTCGTAACGAATCCAAAAATATAGCATCCATCGAGGTAAATTTAAAAAGCACTAAAAATGCTGCACAGTGTAATTAAAACGAAAGGAAACAATATATACCTATCGTTTAAAAATACGAGTTATTCAATAGTTTTTTAAAATAAATATTTCTTATTGTATTT